TCTTGAGGTATTCTAATATTTTTAAATAATTCTTCATTTGTGTATGCACATTTTTTATTGTGATAATATTGTAAGAGTTACCTTTTGCCTCTTGATTTTTAGTTTTGTTGGGGAATATTTGCTGGTTGTTGATAGAAAATGGGAATATTTTATTGTTGAGGTCTAATGATAATACTGTAATATAGTTAAACTCTTACCCTTTGGGTTGTGCTTCTGGTGTAGAATATTTGTTATTCTTAGTGGAAAATGGACATATATTATTCTGAAGTAACTTTTAATTTGCGTATGTGCTCCCTTAATTATTGTACTGCAGTAACTTTTAACAAATTTTATTTAGAACAAAGATACGAAATAACAGTTTGAAGTAACATATCAACGTCATTAATCTATTATTTTCATTTCGAAAATAAAATACAAAAAGTAATTCTATCTTGTATATAAATACTATTTTATTCGATTGATTGAAATAAAACAAACAGTCTCAGTAAACCAATAAAGAATATATTAATAAAACGAAAAGGCTGTAATATGATTAGAAAAAAGATTGAAACGCTTTGATATTAATCCTGTAATAATTTCGAGATGATTTACACAAGCTTCAAGGATTAAAAATTAATAAAATTCATGATTTAATATAGGAAGGAAATTAAAAGCTTCTTCCATTGTATTCACTTGTACTCCCACATCGAATCGCTCATTATTATTAAATTACCAGTTCGAAGATGTTCAACATAATAATTAAAAAAGAAATCGTTTACATTGCTTCTCGTTAAATGTTCCTCTTAAATACATTTCAAATAAAAAATTTATAAAACACTGCGGAATTATTGGCAAAAATATTAAAAAAGATATTCGAATAAAAAAGGTTAATGGTATATCTCTTCTCAACTATCGATTCAGCAACAATCCATAGTTGAGAAACTGCCAAAGAAATAACATACCAGGCCTTTCGAAGCTCGTTTTATCGAGAACTCACGCGAAACAAGTTCCCAGCCCGGGACTCTGCTCACATGTTCCAGCGAGGTTGAGTTACTTAAAAGTTTGCTAATAAACATTTTGATCCCCATTGGAATCTCAGTGATGCTGGTAACTTCCTCTCCAAACAGAATCTGAAATATTTTTCGCTATAAAATATTCGTTAGTAATAATTAGCGTGATCCTCAGTAGCCTCTTTAATTTGGGAAAGCAAATATTCACTCGAGAAATGCTCAGTTTCTGTTGGGTACGATATTTTATTGATTTTTCTACTTAGAAGCAACACCGGGAATTAAGGAAAGGCGCCTGACCTTTAATACGGGCTTCTACTTAGAGAACTTCCGGAATTAAAGGCTGCCTGACATTTTCTTGGCTCTGCAATTTCGAAATACTTTAGAAAAAGTCGTTGTCGCGTTCTTTTAAGCAGAGTCAATTGGAGGATGCTCATATGTCTGATATATTCTAGACTGTTCTACTTTAATTTCTTGGCACGTAAGCTTCGGTAGAACGATCTTGTCAGATGATATGATCTTCAGCTTCCCTTGACTTTTATGGTTGAAAGTATTTATAAAAATGTAGAGAAAAACAAGTTTATAACATTAGTGAACCAAAAACATAACTTTATTATTGTTGCAAGTGCATGTTTTATTCTCATTGATCATTTTAATTGAATTGTTATTGCAAGTGCATATTTTATTCTGATTGATAATATAGATTGTTTGCTCATAATTTTGTACAAGGTTAAGTGGAAGAAACAGATATGTCTGATATGTGTGCATTTGTTCTACTTAAAGTAGCTTCTATGAATATTTATATTGGTAGAATTATTATCTTAGAAACCATTTTAAGTATATCTTGACTTTTCTACTTAGAAATATTTTTAAGAGTGAAAATTTGTAAGTTTACTGATAAATAATTTTTGTGTAATGAGATACAAATTTATAAATAAACAATATTAGTAACTCGCAACATATATTTATTAATAAATAATGTTAATAAAGTGGAACCCGACTTTGCTAATAAATAATTAATAAATTTGCAAATATCGTAAATTTGACCATATATTAATAACAAATAAATTATTGAATTAAAATGTACATTTACCAATATTAAGGTTGTATTTTATTCAGCAAAATATACCAAATAATTCTCTCATCCTTTCGCACGATGTCAAGTGAAACAAACACACATGTCTGATCAATTTGAGTCTCCTCTACTTAAGTCCAGCTTCTAAACGGCTGATACTCAGTAGAATTATCTCCTTAGAATCATTTTAAAAAATCACAAAATATTCTAATCACTGCTTGACATTTCCACTTAGAAAACATATTTTAGAAAATCCTAAACATTTTTTCAAGTAATAACAATCCACAAAAAATGTATCTCATAACTTAAAGTGTGAGATTATTATTTTTCCCATAACCCCTTATAGGTAAGAAATTGAAAATTATAAATTATATTGTCATCTCCGTTAAATTTGAAATATAAGTTGTTTAACATTGTATTTTTCTACTTCGACATTCTGTTATTTAAATTCAATATAAAAATACGTTCATGTGATGCACAACACAATATATTAATTTATCTTTATAAAAATCTTTTGAGTTTATTAAAATTTTTTGACGGTGGATGATGTTACAATACATTTTTCCCCCCAAAAAACATACAAAAAAGCTTTAGGATGATGTGAATCTCTCAACGGGCTCCAGACGAGGCGATCCCGGCGTTTCAGATGCGAGACCAGCCGCGAAATTACCAGGGATCCTCGAATTTCCCGAGAATCTTGAAAAGTGCCTCATCTACCTTGCCAGTTTCGCGTTAACGACTCGATGGTTTCGGACCGGCGTTAGCTGGCCTGGAAACGATTCGTTTCCGTTGGTTTCATGGTCTCGTGATACTTCGCGTCCACGTGGACAAATAATCGAACGTCATGATTCCAACCCTGAGCCTCTTGTTTCTTTGTTTTTAAATAAAAACCATTGTAAAAATGTGAAAAATACGTCTTTACGAAATAATTAAATTTTTCTTGTGGAAAGATTTCTTGTTTATTTTCTACGAACTCTGTTTTCATAAATTTGTTTTAGAAATTGTTTTCTAAGGAATAATTTTATTTAGCTTTTTTAGGATTTTATAAATATTAGAATATCCTAAAGAGTTCAAGAATCTAATTTTCATCAAGAATCTTAGTTTTCTTTCAAACTTATTCTGTGTTAGTATTTATATATCAAGAATATATTACATTTGTATTGTTGATATTAATTTAAGTAGAAAACTTCTTTCAAAAAAACATACACAAAAAGTATTCAACACGATAAACTAATAAACGCAATAAAAAAACACAGACAAACCATAGAAATCTATTTTTTAATCCACACAATTTATCTCGAGTGAGACGAAAAAGTGAAAAATCGTTCATTACAGCTCAAAGTCTTATGCCCACTTTAATTTCCTCGCAGAGAACGGCAAGCTAGCGCACGCCGCGGAGATTAAAAACATTTTAAAACTTCGGTAAATAACGTTCCAAAGAATTCGTCGGTCCGGAGTTTCTCATTTCGGTCTTTTCGAAGATGAATTTTCCTTGGAGAGGTTCCTGGCTTTTTGAGGATGCGTGTCTGGTGTTATTACTTTTCCCGGAGAACGGGCGAATTGAAATTCCCGTTACATTGAACATTCCCGCGCGCACGAAACCGCGTTTTCACCTTCGCCGCGTAGTTTCTTCGATAAACTAACTGCGACACGTTCCCCGCTGAACGAAGCTAATTACGAAAATTAGTTTCGACCAGCCCCCGGGGCCTCGGATCAAACGAATTTGTCGCGAATTAATAGGCATCCGGCGCGCAACGAAAATTCATAATCGACCGTGTGATAATTGTCGAGTGAGATGCGTACTGCAAATTATCGCAGTCGTGTGGAGTATTAAAAAGAAAAAATTTTGGTGAACAATTCGTTTGTTCATTGTGAATTTAGTGAATTTTGGGGAAGGACAGTTTCGATGCAAAAGAATACCTTTTTCTATTTTACCATTTTACTGTGTAATCTTTTTATTTCTTGAGTTTCATCATTCTCATACGGTACTGTGACTTATTTATTTTTATCATTTTGTAACTTCGTTATGTTATTATTTTACTTGTAACTTTTTTATTTTATTAATTTTATATCATTTTGTCGTATCCCTGTATTATGTTTCTACTTTCTCATTTTATTTTGGTACCTTTGCTTACTTTTATTACTTTATAACTTTTTCATATTATCATCATACTATGTAACTTTTGTCTTTATTTCATTGTATGAAGTTTTTATTTTATTGCTCCACTTTACTTTTATTGCTTTACAACTTTTTCATTTCATTATCTTATATATAACTTCTCATTTTATGATTTTACTGTATAATCTTTTTCTATTTCATTTCATTGTATGACCTTTTTATTTTAGTATTTTACTACATAACTTTTCTCACTGTTTCAATATATGAAACTTTTATTTCATTATTTCCCCTAGAAATATATTTAAACATTTCATTAACAGAGTATTTTTTAACACGTCTGTTCTTTTCATATAACATTATATTTACACATATATCTAACAATTTTGTATACGTGTTTGACTAGACCGAAAAACAATCATCTATCTTCAAAATAATTTTCCTGTTGAATATGGAATGCTCTTATTTCTACTAAACATAACTCAATAATTTACCACAGTATACCCATCAAATTCCCACTCGTGTAACATAAACCAATTAGCACAAAATCAACGTCCTTTTGAAAAAGAATGAACACAAACCACCTCTCGTACAATCAAAATTTCTCAAGTCCGTCTCACAATTTCCAACCGAGACAGTCCAATCCCACAGAGACAGAATCGTCACCGAGACGAACTTCGACCGATCAACAAACTCCTCGAGGTCTCCTTAAACGTAAAAACTAACCCGCAGCGAACAAAATGAAACTCTGAAGAAATAGCCCATTTAGCCAAGAACATCCCGCAAGAAACAAACCCTCACGATATTTCATTTTCCGTTGCAGAAAATCCACCGGCACGCCTCCAGACCATCCAGAAGCACAATTCAGCAAAACCAACACGACTCGTCCGTTTCCTTCGAATAACTCCGGAACAGAAATTCTCCTTGATGCCAAATTGACGCGACAATTGAAGATCACCCCCCCAAAGATAAATACAGAGAGAACGGAGACCCTCGACGAAATAAAGTAATTAAATCTCTTCCTCCGATTGCGGACAAAAGGGCTGGTCACACAGCGAAAGTGACGACTGCATGAAGCAGCAATGGATTAATTGATAGAGAAACGTTATCGGGATCACGGAGATCACCGGGTTGGATGAAAAAGAAGAGAGAAGGAGTTCCTTCCTCCGATCGCGAGGGATGCGAGACAAAAGGACTGTCTTCTCGATGAAAGGGTGAACGTTGATCGAAGACATCGACAATTCGTTTCGAAGGACACGATTGTTGCGAAAGGCTTCAAGAAAGAAAAGATCGAACAATGTCGATACACGGCAGGGGTGCGACGAGGGAGACCGGTCCTCGCGGAAGTCCCTATTGATTCGCGGGGGTGGACGGCGAAAGGGGAGGATTGAAGATGTAGAGACGGGAAAGCACGAGAGGCCTGAAAATGGACAATTAGAGGCAAGATGGACGCGGCTAATGCCATCGGCAATAACACTCGAGACTTCTGCAGCACCAGGTACAAGGACTTCATCCCTCCTGAGGGTGGTGAGTATCGAGTATTTTCGTTGGTCTCTGTTTTAGTTTAGTGTGGCTTCTCTTTGGAACGGTTTTTGGTTCTGATTCTTTGTGGTTGAGAAGTTTGAGAGTTTTCGGAGGTGTTGTTGTGGTGAGTTG